ATCGGCCACGCTCTGATCCGGCGCGCTCGGCCTGGACTCTGCACCCGTCGTGCTGATCGATCTCGACTCTCGCACGCCGCTGAGCAGAGCCTCGAGCCGCTCGCTGCTGCCATGACCGCCGTCGTTGGTGTCGCCGGCCGCTTTGCGTCTGCCACGTTTCGCGCTCGACGACGACGTGCCCGCCAGCGCGCTGCTGCTGCTCGTGCGGTCGCGCAGTGCCTGCGCCGCATGCGCAGACACCGTCCGCACATACCGACTCGCGAGCGACTCGAGCTGCGCAAATTGATGCGACCTTGAGCGCAGCAGATCCACATTGAACTCGACGTCGGCCCAGCGCGGGTCGTGCTCGGTGCCCTGTAGCTGCTCGTCGTCGTCGGCCCCGCGCGCTTGCGCCGCTTTGGACGAACGTCCCTTGGTGCGCGATTTGGCCTTGGGCGCATCCGCCGCATCCTCGGCCTCGAGCTTCTGGAGCCACTCCATGGCCGCCTCGGCATCGCGCAGCTGCTGCAGCCCGGCCTCGTCCAGATCGTGGCGGTCCCATGCAATCACGTCGCCCGACTCTGCAGCACCCTCGTCGTCTAGCAGTGCCTCCAGCCGGCTCGTCTCGGCCTCGTAGTCTTCAAGCCGCGTGAGCTCCTTGCTCCACGCCAGCGACTCGTTGCGCATCGCCTCGACAATCGCCGAGAGCTGCGCCGACGCCTTGCGATTCGACTCATTGCGTGGATGCGGTGCTTGCCGTTTGCTGTCCTTCTGAAGAGTTGAAAACGGATCCGTGTCAGCTCTCGCTTCCTTGTCGTGCTTGACGGCAACCGGCGCACTTACCTCGTCAGTCGCACCCATCCAGCTGATGCCGAAAACACCGTCGTTGAGGTCCGTCAGGAGCTGCTGGAGCACCGAGTTCAACTCGCCACTGCGGGAGCGGATGAGCTTGAGCTCTGCTTCGCTGAAGATGGGCAGCTCATCCGCCTCCTTTGCCTTTCCCTTGGACTTTTTGGCGGCGTCACGCGAGCGCACGGGCAGCTCGGCCTTGCCCCTCGCAATGTCGAGCGAGCGTTTGAGGATCCAGCCGACGAGGTGCTTCATGCGCACCACAGGAGGAAGCTGGTCGCTGCAGTGTCGGAAGAGCTCGTGGTCCGGCACGTCTTCGTGCGGATACGCCGCTGTGCCGTCGCGCAAGGACGAGACACGCCGTTGCCCCTTGAGGTTGAGGCTGCTGCGGCGCGACTGCTCGGCTGCCTCGCGTCCCGTAGGGCGGCGAGGTTGCTTTTCGAGGCCGGCGCGGAAGGCTTGATTTCTGCGAATGATGGGTGTCTCGCCTCCCGCTGCATCCGGTAGTGGCTCGAAGACGGTGCGGCTCGAGGAAGGTACGGATGCGCCGTTGCGGGAAAGCTGAGCACGGGCGGCGGCACTGCCGACAGCTGCTGATGAGGATGAATCGGCGGGGCCGTTGCGTCGTGCAGGCTCCCGGGCGGA